TACCCTCTTGCTGGGTGATGACCTACAGGTGCCCACTATGACTATTATGAAATGAAATAACTAATTGCTCTAACCCAGGCTCTCAGATGGTAAAAGGGAAAGTCCATCACCAGATACATAGATGATTGCCATACTTTTACTACTGTATATGCCCACAGTGTGATTGATGGAGGAAAAAGACTTCTCATCCAAACAAAGAGAACATCCTCGCCTTCCTAGAGGCTGTTTGGGTTCTCCTAAAAACTGTTATCATCCACTGCTGAGATCATTAAAAATGTGACTCCCCTGAGGCAAGAGGTAACCTGGCTGCTGACTTTGCTGCCCAACAAGTGGCCTTAAGACCAGTGGGACCTATTGATATCTGGTGACACACTCTGACCCAGTGCTGCCTGAGACTTGTGGTACAACCAAGAGAAAACAGAAAATGCAAAAAGAAGAAATGGACCAAAAGGGAAGGATCATTTTTCCCAGAAACAATTAGCAGAACTCTAGTAACTTACCCTCATGAGGCTACTCATCTGGAGTCCACAAAATCTTGAGTTGATCAGACCAAGGTATATAATACCTTGACTGGACAGCCTGGCACAAGAAGTCTCAGTCAATAATCCACACCTCCAGGGAAGCTAGGAAACAAGGAGGACCCTAAGAGAGACATATATTGTCCCCAAGTGAAGGAGAAAGGGACAAGATTCCCTGAACAAATTGGGAGCATGGGTGGAGGGGAGGGAGGTAAGAGAAAGAGAGGGGAGAAGAGGAGAGGGGAGGAGAACATGAAGGATCAGGAAGATTGAGTGGGGAGATGAATAGAGGAGAGAAAGAAAAGCGACACATCAATAGAGGGAGCCACTATAGGTTTAAAGAGAAATCTGGCACTAGGGAATTATACAGAGATCCACAAGGATGACCCCAAATAGGAATCTAAGCATTAGTGGAGAGGCTACCTTAAATGACCTTCCCCTATAATGAAAATAATGACTACCTTAAGTGCCATCCTAGAGCCTTTATCCAGTAGCTGATGGAAGCAGAAGCTGAGATCCACTGCTAAAAACTGAGCCAGATTCCTGGAATCCAGTTCCAGAGAGGAGGAGTGATGAACTAAGGGGTCAAGACCATGCTGGGAAAACCCACAGAAACAGCTGACCTGAGCAAGTGGGAACTCATGGACCCCAGTCTGACATCTGGGGAACCAACAAAGGACCAAACCAGGCCCCCTAAACCTGGGTGTCAGCTAGGAGCACTGGGTAGTCTATGGGACCTCTGGCAGTGGATCCCAGCACTTTGGGAGGCCATTTCCCTTGGAGCGATACTCTCTTAGCCTAGATGCACAGGGGAGGGCCTAGGCCCTTCCCCAAATGACTTGACAGATTTTGATGACCCCCCCATGGAAGGCCTCCTCCTCCCTGGGGAGGGGATGGGGGATGGGATGGGGGGTGGATGAGGAGCATGGGAGGATAGGAGGGAGAGGGAACTGGGATTGATATGTAAAATAAGATTGTTTCTAATTTAAATAAAATTTATATAAAAAAAAGGAAGTCCCAGCTAGCTACCAGGTTTGTACAAAAGTAAATCCAAAACAGAAAGCACTTATCTAAGAAGAGGTCTAAATGAGAGACTAACACCCCAGTGAACTTTGGTAAATTGAATTCACCAAGATCTGGCCTGCCAAAGATGGATATCTTTTCTGAGTGGGTAGAAGGGTTCCCCACCCAAACTGAAGCTGCTTGTGTTAGCTAGTTTTCTGTTACCTTGACACAAGCTAGAGTTATCTGAAAAGAGGGATCTCCTGTTGAGTTCCCAACTTCCTTTGGTGATGAACAATGATGTAGACATGTAAGCCAAATAAACCCTTTCCTTCCCACAGCAGTATTAGTCCTAACTAAGACACTGCTCAAATAGTACCTTAAAAGTTCCTCCAGGAACTGGTCCAATCATTTGACCTTCCCCTAGCAATGGACTCCAACAGTGGCTTGGCTTCCATAGTGAAGACATAAAACATTAGGCATAGATTGAAAACCTCATTGTGCATATGACCTCAGAATTCTGGACTGGTAAAAATAATGAACAGGATGTCAAAAACCAACAAAGCCCTAACAAAACTCTCTGAGTCCAGCAAAGGATGGATAGACTTCATTCTATTGTTTTGCTTTGTGGCTGCTGCTTCCCATACAGGGAGGGATTTGCCTAATGAGATTACATTTGGAAGACCTCCCCCACTGTTTCCCCAGCTCAGAGACCAACAGTTGGCAGAACTCTCTAGCTATTCGAGTCACTACAGGCCCTCCAGTCCTCCATAAAGGCTCTTTGTTCATTGTATTGAGAGACCCAACCAATCTCTGAATCTACCACCAGTTTCCTCTTGTTCAAGTGATGTTGTCTGGTAGCGGACCTCCAAAGGAGTGCTGGGAACAACATGAAATGGAAGGTAGCTGCCATTATACCATGGATCTGCCACACCCAGATTAAGAAAGCAGAAGCCACAGATAAGGATGCCAAATAGAGTGTCTCCAAATATGGCACCCAACATCTGGCACCTACATCCATATAAGACCTGAAAAAGCTTTTAAAACATTCTAAACACACACAAATGGTATCAAACACAGCTTTCTAGTCTCTCCTGTTGGCTGTTCATTGTGTCTCCTGGAAGCTGCCATCCTGCCATGAGTTAAGCCACATGGCAGGTTCCTGCAGTCTCTCACACAGGCTGCAGTACAGACAGGTGATGGGTATCAAGATTACAGACAAGCAACTCATATTCATCTAGAACTTTACTCACTGATGCCCATTTTAAATGTCTGGTTGTATTAAGGAAAGGAAAGATGTGGGCACTTATCTTTTGAGATTAAAAATACAGAGTTTACAATTCTATGCATTCCCTGTGGCTAAGCCCACTAATCAACAAAGACAAGGGAGTGTCCAGTGTAAAAAATTGGGATTG